ATTCTCGTTCTCGCGATTACTATTTGCGACCAATTCCACCGTTTCCACCCAAAACAAACGTTCTTCGAAACTAATTTCGAAACGGAACCAAGTGCTCTTCGAGACAAAAGAGCATATATCAAGAGAGATAAACGTTTAGGCACGAAATCTCTCTTCGCCTTTAAGGTGAAGCAGGTCGAAATTCTAAACGATTTCTGGATAAGTTTCGAGGGTGAAATAAATTGATTGAATATTCGCGTGAATATCCTCGATTGGAAGATTGGCGTCCATTCCTTGATCTGTCCATCGACAGGGGACAGATATTAAAACGAGACGAACGTGCAACGGAGGGAAGAAAAGGGGAATGTTTCGAATATCGCGAAGAAATAGAGAAATCGTAACATTTTCTCGACGGAGAAATATTATCCGTGTTGATTTTTTTCTCGTGTACGTTGCTCGAAATGATTTTTTTTTAAACGCGCGATTTATTATTTCTTCCATCATCGTTGACGACAAACGATGGGGAAAGATCAAAGAATTTTTCCGGAGAGAAAGCGAGGAGAAATTGTTTGAATCGATGATCGATGCTTCGAGGATCGTAATTGCAATTATTACCTTTGATGGATTAATTATAAATATACACAATGCACGTTTCGTATAGATGTGTACGTATAGAGAAAAAAAATATATTATAAACCCCTTTGTCGGATCCGATGAGAAAGATATATTTTTTTCCATGGTTTAAAATTGAAAATGTAAATGGGAATAATTTGAACTCGTAAAATCGATTAGCCTGTAGGGAAAAGTTGGGAAAAGTTGAAGGGGGAAAAGTTTGTTGGGTGGAAAAGTGAGAGAACCTCGCTCTTTTTACGAGATGTTAAGTCTCTGTAGGTTTATATCCTTTTCTTTCCTCTTTCCCTTCCTCTCCTTTTCCCATGTTAAAACGTTTCACGTTCGATCGTGGAAAATGTAAAACAGATCCCGAATGTCATTCATAAATAAATAAAGAAAGAAAGAAGGGTAGAATTTTTAGAAGAGAGAGAGAGAGAGAGAGAGAAAGAGGATTTGAATACAAAGCGAATAAAAATCGCGTAATGTATTTTATTAAAAAATCGCTGAAATCAATTGCCAACAAATTTAAGCCACTATTTGATAATCAAAATTGGGAAATATTTGTACGCGAAAAATAAAATCGAGAATAAATTCATCCGAATAACTAATTAGCCGCGTCTCCCTTTTTCACTCCTCCGTATAAAGCCACGTTCCAACGATTAACTCTTATCTCGTCCACCTGGCAAGCGATGTTAATAAGACTAACTTTCCGTATGTAATCCACGTAGAATGTGGGCGTGATACGAAACGAGCAAAAAAAAAAAAGAAAAAAAAGAAATAGAGAGAGAGGAAAAGAAACGCAAGAGAAGGAATGGTACGAGAAATCCTTCGCCACCATTTTTCCGTACGATTCTTATTAAAACGTACGCCGCCTAATAAATTATACGGATCACATGGAAATAGAAAAAGCGAGATTCGAGGAATTAAAATGCAACGAGGGAACAAATTAGCGTCGGTCGGGGAAAACAAATTCTTAGATTAACGTCTCTTCACTTGACTTTTTCTTCTTCCATCCACGTGAGGAAAGGAAGGAAAAGAAAGGAAGGAAGGAAGGAAGGAAGGAAGGAAGGAGAGGTGTAAATTTCATTACGCGAGGATCGTTCGTTCGCCTTACATAGCGCGTACGTTTTGCATTTTGAAGAGAGAGGGAAAAAAAGAAAAAGAAGAAAATAAACAAATAAGAAATTCTCTTAGAGGAGAGACAGGGAGGGGGCGGAAAAAATTGAAAGGAATTTTTCAACGAACAATGGATATTAATCTCGCTTGTTCTTTTTTTCTCTCTCGTTTCTCGCAAAACGTCGTTTCCATGTAACGCGCGTAGTAACAGGAGAATTTCTTTCTTCCTTTTTTTTTTTTTTTTTTTCCCCCAAGTCCACGGAGTCCAAGACCCC